CATAAATAAGTTAAATGACGAAATATTAGGTGTCTATTTACTTGTGACCACTCAGTGTATATTTTACTATGTGGATAAGACTGAATATCAAACTGAATCATGATTTTTAAAAATACATTTGATCCCTGACGGGTTAACACTCAATAACTGAAAAAAAAACATCATTACCTGTTATCTTTGTGGGAACCCCTGATGACCTTTCGCGGATCCCTAGGGTTCAGAGGAACAAAGTTTGAAAACCACTGCAACAAACAATCGTAAATAACCTTCACGGGGTGATACCTGAAACTTTATATTCTAAAATGAGACATTTTATAGGAAAAACTGGAATAACAACATGAATTCATATATGGTATATTCTGACTACTTTTCTCAGTGCACCAGTATATGTTTTTCTCGTGTATATTTAATAATAACACTTCCTTAATCTTTTTTTCAGTGCCTCAAGCTAATAAAAGGTCATTGAGGGATAATTTTCGCGACTCCATTAATGATCTGAAAGAAAAGGATATAGGCAATAGCTCAACTATATCAAAAACAAGAACAAGCCCATTTCGCATGCTTGGTAATTTTATGGAAACTCAACTCCGAGGAAGAATTGTACCCCTCAGACGAAACAGGTCTGCAGAGCGCCCCTTTGAAGGGTCTAAGAAAGACTCTGAGGTGTTTAGGTCGCGATCATCATCGAATGAAAATATGATGTACAAAGATTATAGAAGACTTACATCCAAGTTGACATCACCCATGGTCAAGAATGATAAAAACAAAAGTTTAGAGACATGCACGAAAGTGGATCCCGTTCCTGAGCCAAAGGACAATTGTATTGACTTGATCGACAAAAAAGAAAGTGCACTCCACGAACGGAAAGATGAAGACAGCAGTACAGATGTACAAACGGATATCAATCCTCGTGTCTTGGCGGAAATTGAAGTATGTCTATCTAAGTGAATTTTCTAAAAACGTTTATTTTAGAATTGCTCAGACTTTATGTAATGACAAAATACGTTGACCAGTATAAAACATTTAATCACAACAATGAAAGATAGCACATTTTGAATTAACTTTCTCTTAAAGAACATTTTACCGTTTACCAGTAAAATGTTTTGATTATATATGTCTTTGTTAGTTTATTTCTCTAAACTTTAACTAAAAATTGCCACCCAATGGCACAGCGGTATGTCTGCGGACTTACAACGCTAAAAACAGAGTTTCGATACCCGTGGTAGGTAGAGCATAGATAGCCCATTGTGTGGCTTTGTGCTTAATTACAAAAAAAATTAAAATTAAGTATTTTTGGTTTATTAATATTGTTTCCAAATATATTTTGATATAGAATTCATGCTTTCAGGATGCAATTATCTTAAAATTTGAGGGTTGTTTCCAAGCCTAGATCGACTGATGTGCAGTTTTATGTGTTTTTATAAAGTATGCCATCAAGTGAATGTTTTTAATACTGTTCCACAATCAAAACGAAACGAAAACTTTATACACTAATTACTTTTCCCTCAATGTAGATTCCTGATCTTGGTAAGGGGATTTCCCATTGAAGATTATACCTATGTACCTTACTTTCTCTGGGATCCAAATGTCAATTTTTGTGTTTTCCTTGCATGATGGCCAATGAATGAAAAGAAAGCTTCCTAGTAACTGAGTAGTGCATTAGTCACTGTAATATTACTTTGGTGTGCCATACCTGTCGATGCAAGGAAGTGTCATTCAGTTGGTCAGAAATGGCTAGATTCAACTAAATGCCAGTATTGAATATCCTTAGTGGATGTTGTGAAGAGTAAATCTGGTGTTTGGTTTGGGTATAGAGCCCATCAAACCTTGGCATTGCTATATTGTCCTCAAAGTATTGAGATTCTAAAAGTATACCACTTCCTCTTCTGTGATTCCATGATCGGTGGCCACTGATTTGTTTTTCCCTTCCTTTATAGAAATCAAATTTTTTTTATTTTTGCAGAACCATTAAGAAGCACTACACTGAAGATGCGTTTATTGTATGTCAAGTTACTGGTTGAGACGTAACTTTTATAAGAATGGCTTAGAGGAATTTGTTGGCTACATTTAATCTATGGAAAACTTAGATCATAGGATTTGCTTGTTGGAACATCCACGTCAAATGGCAGTTAATTACTTTTGCTTTGTGATGTTCTCTGAGGAATTCCAATATTGGCTACTCCCTATAACATCTTTAACTCCTCAAGAAAAATTACCACTGAAATAGACCTTAGTAATGTCGAAGAGTAAAAGTTTATTTTTGAAATTCAGTACCTGGGTGTTATAGCTGACAAGTACTCTGTCTTGATAACAGCACGAAGTGAAGGTGAAACAAGATCATATTAATCACCGAGTGCGGCTCAAAGTTTCTGAACTTTCATCCACTCAAGATGATTAATCTGACCTAGTTTTACCTTCACTTCCTGCTGGTATCAAAGCAGGATACCTGAATTGTCCTGTTTGGTTGTATATCACAGATTTACTCAGATATTTCAGTTCCAAACAAATTGGACATTCCAAAAATAATTGTCATAGTACTCTTACCTAGTGCTCATTGTCGTGGCACTAAGATACAAGACAGTAACGAATGTAATGTTAAGCCACTGCGTGTCAACTAGTTATGTGACGATTAATCAGGGTAATCGAAGATTTATCATTAGAGTCAAACGACTAAGCATTTGTTTATGATTTTACATTATTTGTTATAATCAATTATTATTTTTCAGGGATATACTGTTTTTATATTTTTGTTATATTCTTGTTTCTCAACCTCCTCTCAAGAAAACTGAATATTTATGCAGTCAATCAAACACCTTTAAAACGGTTATTCCCATTGGTTGTAGTAACCAAACCCGACCAAGCTGAGCTTTTATTACAGAATTAAAGGCCTGAAACAATTCTCGGAATTTAGTCTGTCTGAAACGAAACTGGCGAGCTTGAAAATCACACAGTACATAATAAAAACCATTGATTTTTATAATATATCTGAGAACAATGTTTCAGCCCTGAATTTTTTGCATGCTTTTTTTTTTGCCGTGATTTTACTCTGGGCAGTAAAAATATATATAGAGAAAGGGAACATTCTAAACAAACACAACTAATTTACAATATTTCTATTTCAACTTGTTGATCAGCAAAGAAAATAACAAAACCGATTATAATCAATCATAGATCAGCGTGATGAATCGATTATTGATTTCAGCCAGTCTCATTACTAATGTCAACTGTAAAGTCTCACACACTTGTTTCTCATGACTATGTACAAAAAGGAAGCACAACGTGTTAAAACGCTGAATAACATTTCTTATAACGACGTACATAAAATGATCTCTACTATCCTGTAGAAGTGTTAAGTTTCTGTAGACCATTCAACAATTTTTAGCTGTGGTATATACTACCATATCTGTACCACCTTCCTATGTAAAGCTTTATAATCTGTTATGGATGCATTTTTAGACAAGTTCATATATAATACTGTGTCTCTGCACCTTGTAGATCTAGGAAGCATTCTATTCTTACCACATGAGTCCCCACCTGCATAGGACTAGTATATGGCGATAAAACTGCTCTTTTGAATAACCATGTACGAGAGGTAACCAATTATTCACAGGATCACTCCTATAAATGTTAACTGGCTCATTAAATAGAAGAAGATAAACAATCAACACAATAAAAAGACAAAATATAAAGGTATTCACCTAGAATGCTTAAATATTTTAGGTAAAAATGGACACTTATTCACTGAATCTGTTCAAGTTTTCATTCTAACCTAAATCTTAACAAGGTTCTGATTGACTTATTTCATTTTGTATACATCCCCTTACACGAGAAATTTCTAAAACTTACCAATTGTATGGTGCGTGGACAGGTTGTGTGACTGTTATGTTCATGGGGGAATTACAATTGCTAGTCATACTCCATCCATATCCATCCACCTCACTATACCACTGGAGGCTCTTGTCACCAGTGTTTCTACTGGTCATACTGTCATACTTTAACTGTCACCTGATCAAGCAGATCTTTATGACTTAATGATTCAGCTGCCATCTCCATTTCTAATCTGGGGAGCCTGAATTGACACAGCTCCCTCTAGAGTTGTAGATATACTGATTTAAGAGGCAGATGTATTTAGCATATGCTGTCTAATCATGTTCCCTCTCTCTTCAACATTGAAGAATACATATATTTCCATTCACCAAGTCAAGCATTTACTACTATAAATCTGTGTATTTAACTTGAGTTTCCATTCTTTGTTTTCTTGAAAGATGAGTAAAGAGCCATAAGGGGATGATAATTTTTCCATTATTCAGTGGGAGATTAAACAGGGCCAATACAAACCATCCACTATGCCATGGTAGAAACTGGAAAAGGTCAATTGTTTCTTCTTTATCACCTTCTCAGAGCATGATCCTGAAACTGTTAACCTGCCAGCTGTTAATGAATGTATGAAATCAATGACATCGGTTTTATAATATTCTTCGTCATTTTCGTTATCCTAGTATCGTAAACGATACTTGACAATATGTTGTTTTAAAATTTTCACCCAGACATAATATTGCTTACAAAAACAAAATCTTTAGTATAACACGCGCTGCCATACAAGTCAGTCAAGATCATCAGTTGGAATTTTGTTGAATTAAATTGGCAGCCCAACTTTTTTAAGCGATTTTCTTCATGAAGAGATATTGACACATCTTATTGTCAATAGTTTATTACTTACCATTCCTCGAACCTCGATAAGTTTTTCATGCTATATATATAACCCTGCCAGACAACAAACCAGGCTCAGAAGTGAGCCTCGAACATCTTCCACAAATATTTCAATCTTATAAACTGCATAGACTATTGAAAGGCTTATGCATGGCACATCAAACGTCAAAGCTAGATAGAATCTTTGATTAATTTCACTTCTAGTATCTCTTTCACTACACCTCCAAGGTCACTCCATTTCCGTTTGATCTTGCAACTTAATGACTAAGAAATGGTTGACATTACTACACCTCCAAGGTCACTCCATTTCCTTTTGATCTTGCAACTTAATGACTAAGAAGTGGTTGACATTACTACACCTCCAAGGTCACTCCATTTCCTTTTGATCTTGCAACTTAATGACTAAGAAGTGGTTGACATTTAGACTGTTACCATTCACACTTTATTTTTGTTTCTATATTTTTTCACCTGTTCCCGTGACTTCTTGACCATTAAGGAACATATTTAAAGACCTTCTCTTTCTTTTCAGCTTTATTGTTCATTTAATTACAATAGACCATTCAGTCTACTGGAACTCGGAATGACTTTACATTATTTTGGCACTACATCAGTCAGATCAGATGATATCAATTACAAGATACTATGCCATATTTCACATGCTTTTGCTTCTGGTCATTTTGTTTTTCCAATCTAAAAAATTTAAAAAGTGAAAACATATTACTAACTAATTAAGAATTTGACTGAGGGGATTGTATAGGCTATTAACTATGACAATGAATGGATTTCTCTAATTATGACTGAATCTAAAGCAAGAAAGAACCTGAACATAGTGTAAATAAAGTAAAAGTTAATCTTTAATTAACATTCAAACACAAATACGATTACGAGTACACTAGAAAATGAACAGTGTTTATACCTGGCCCGAGACTTTTTCCCACATTAAGTTGTTCCAGACTAAAATACCAAAGCAGTATATAAGAAACTGTAAAGCACCACCTCTTACGGTGCACATGCACTGTCCACGTCGCTTTTGGTCATTGCAATAGCAAATAAGGAGAACACTCCTCAAGGTAATCACCTAACCTGTCAATGAAAAATATCACTATCCTCCTTCATACTGTATATCATGCTATACAACAACCTTTTCCACAATAAAGTGTATGTGACAAAACAGAGTGATTCAGAAGAATAGGTAACTAGGCCGAAACTAATTTAGCACATTTCATGACCAACATTCACGCTGTTAAAACTTCGCACATAGCGAAATTCATGTATTTGTGAAAATTCTAGGTTGACATGAATTTCTAACCTTATTAATAAATACCTCTCAAGGTCATCCTTAAGTGCCGGATTTTATTAAATTGGATGACCCTGTGGGCTCTGCCATTATTTATTGTGATTACCTCTATAGATTCCGTGTCCACTGCCGAGTTGTATCTATTCTTACCTGCTTTTTTGTGGATATTCATAAATGGTTGACCATTTCTCTATATCATCTTGTTTATCCCGTTTCTTCTGAATTACTAGCTATGTTTACATCCAATAGAATGAGCTTGTTGACACCGTAGTCTAATTGATTTTCATTAATAATACCAAACCTTTGTCTGCTTCTTATATTTATTTCAAGCCTGCCATCAGAACAAGACTTCGTGCCAGTTAGCAGGCAATTTGAGGTGAACAAGGCTAACAAGCTTGCCAAAATCAAACGTATTATCAACGACTGGCCACCCAGTTTATGCTGTAATTGGAAGAATGAAATTGTTCTGATCATATTCTGCATTGGCCTTGGTTTCCTTACACATGCTCTTATTTTGTCACTCGGGTCACCATCACTCAGACTGTGCTTTCATGCAATCACTATGACATTCAGTGGAGTGACCATTTTAAACATGGGTATCTCTTTGACATTTAGCAGTGTCCAAATTGATCTTGTTTTTAGCTATTTGCGGATCAAAGGTCTTTTTAACACAATTTAATTTTTACCCACACGAAACCATAACGTCTTGAATATTTTATCTTATGCATTTTTACATTGTTTCATTTGATTGTTGTTTCAATATAAAGTAATAATGTTTTATGTGGACAACCTTTGTGGTTCTGCGCCACAAAACCTTCTAGCAATAATAACTAATTATTTTAATATTACGATGCGAAGTTTCAACAAAAATAAATAACTACAAATATTATTCCTCGCAGGATATCACCACTTATGAGTGAAGCAATAGATCAGAAGATATCACATGACTATATGTTTCAATACTGAGAAAAGCCGTATTAAATCAATCATAGTTCATCCGTACAAGAATTTACCAAATTTATTTTAGTTTTCTTAGGACAAATGCCTCAAAATTCTCAAACCTGCGAATCGAAAAGTGAAGTTTCAAATGAAACTACATTCAAAATGTGAAACTTTTACGTTTATTAATTTAATTGTTGCAATTCTAGAACAAGTATATCAAACTTTTTCACGACATTCACGGCTAACGCCACGAATATGGAAGTCTCACTCGCAAACAGAAAAACAAAGAACTAATATTAACCCTTAAGATTGTCTTTAAAAGTGTTTGTGACTATTCTCATATCTGAATTTGTTGGTCCCATTTCTATAATACACAAATATAACTATGCATAGCTATGTTTATTTTATTTGCTAGGTCCACCGGTAAGTTTACGGAACTTACGCACAACGCTAAAATATGGAGTGCTATTCCTCACAGTGGACACTGCATATAGCTCAACATCGCTTTGTTCTCAAACTAACAAAAAAAAAGCGATTACATAGCTTCTCAGAGGTTCGGTGGTAATTCTGAGGGTTCACACCGCTAAAAAAAACGAGTTTCGATACTTGTGGTGTGCAAAGCACAAATACTCCATTGTGTAGCTTTGCGCTTAACGACAATCAAACATATGCTAGAAGTATTGTTGGTAAATCCTAATGAATGGTAGCCATATTATCTATACATTTTTCATGCGAAATTCTGTTATTTTTAGAACCTTTTTTGAAAATAGTATATATTAAACAGTTATGTATGAATACTATTTTCGAAAAGAAAGACGATTAAATACTTATGGTTTGACTGTGGCGGTAGAATATCAACGGTTATCATGGTTAATATCCATACGGTCACCTAGGTCTAATAGCTGAATAATTATTATTGTGAGGTTGTTGTAATTAATTATGTCATATCATTCGTTTCGGCTGTTAATCTGGTAATGGTTTTAGGGAATTCCTGAAAAGGACTGTATTTGATAGGGGGAGCCATCATCCGATCCTAGGTCTTTTTGTTAGAAAGACACTCCACTTTAGGGGTCAGAGTACGAAGGATAAATGGTCATATAAGCTTACAACCGTGACAATGGAGGATGAATAAATAAATTAAAAAATAATATTATCTATTTTACAGGCTTTCGAACAGTTGGTACAGGAATATTTTCTCAACCAAAAACGCCATCCACATCTGTCGGTATAACTTCAGGTAGGAGTCGTTAAAATGTTTATATCTCAGATTTTTTATAATCTTGCAAGTGTATTGTGTATATTTAAATGTATCCATTTTTTTGCCATGCTATGTCACTGAAATGAGAACGAAAGCTTACTTTTGTAAAGTTTCATATCTTTTACTGTGTGCGTAATTAAAATATCCATACTTAATGTGGCAGTCTCGGTTTTTTTCTTCTTCTTGGTGACACTTTCTAGTTAACTTCTTTTTGTTTATGGGACATCAATGGGCCTTTTGGCCTATCTAGGATGTCCTTATTCCCAGCCTCCCTAATAATTGAATCCAGCCCTGATTCTTCAAATATTCGTTAACCTTTTCTTAAATTCCCGTAAATTTACAGCCTTGACCACTCTAGAAGGCTTTTTCCACAGATCTATCAAATAAATAAAACTGTTTCAAGGGAAGATGTGTCTTACTCCTCATCGAAATGGCTTAAAATTCCCTGGACAATGCTTGTCCCCCCCTCTAAAAATTGAGTACCACCAGAGCTGAAACTGTTTTTTTTTCAGATATGTGAAATGTGTTGAAATAATTGCTCTGTATCACAAGATCACTTAAGTTGTTCAACACTTATTTAACGCTTTCTTCAATATAAACTATACTAAACTAATGCGGACAGTCAGACATAAAACTGAACTAATCGGAAGATATTTTGTTTGTTGTTAAGACAAAGCTAAGCAATGGGTTGTCTATGCTGTGCTCGCCACTGGTATCTAAACCCGGTGTTTAACGTTGTAAGACGTCAGATTTGGCGCTGAACCATTGGGAGATATCTTGCTATAACTTTATACGACGCCGTAAACTGACCATATGAAGAATTACTCCTTTTTACAAGACTTAACACTTTTTTGAGGAAAAAATAGAGATAATATTGTTTAAAATTTTGCTAAGCACATTAAACAAATTAAGTGCATTTCCATGATTTTTACTTTACAATTCGTATAATGTTCAAAAATTATATGCAATTTATAAAAAAAAAATGTGCTAATATAAAGAAAGTGACTTAATATTTTGGTGTTTTGTTTTTAAAAAATCCTTCATTTCACGATAGATATCGGTAACTACATTTTTGAGAATTTTTGTCATTCTGACAAAATTTTAATATATTCTAAGTATTTTCTGGAAGCACACGACTGTCTCTGTCAGTTATATATATATATATATATTACGACATATGCACAAAATTAGCTTATGTTCCAATGGGCAAACTGAGATTGGATTTACAAAAAAATCTAATCAAAAACATCTTAGGTGTGAAAAAAAAGGTAGCGGCCAAAAAAAAAAAAAAAAAGAAATTCAGCGTGCGACTTAAGTCAGACCGCGTTTTTTTTTTAATTTGGGGCATGATGGTGGATAAAACAAAATACGGAGCCTAGCTAACTAATGATTGAATATGTGCTGTAAAATTCTAATCAATGCTATAAGTGTAGCTACCATGTATCTGCACGTGCTTTAACCCTATAATTTTGCTGCTCTATGTCAGCCGTCTTTAATTCGAATGACAAAAACAGTCCACTTTTATTCTTAGGTGAAGCTGTAGTAAAGCATTTAAACCGATAGGTCACGTGTTGGTCAAAATTGAGTGGGTTTTGTTGAATAACTTTTGCACATGTAGCTTATATTTAGACCAAATTTAACACCTAATTGTGGGTTGTGAAAATGTACCAAATTTGAAAAAAAAATTATATAAGTTAAGTATGTTTTTCTATCAAGCAAAGTATCCCTACTTTCAGTTCGGTGCGAAGAAAATTAAAGAGCAAGAATTTCAATCAAAATTGGAGATTTTAAGCCTCATGTATTTCTTAATGGATTGCCTTGAGAGCACATCCACTGAAAAGATGTGATAGTTTGGATTACCACAGTTCGAGCTACAGAAAGTAGAATATCGCTAAACTATCATTCCTGTTAATAACACACAGTCTCCTGCAGGTTGTTTTGGCCGCATGACACATTACCGTGTATCTTGGTCAGGACATAGGGCATACACGTGCGATATGATTAACTACACAAGTAATTTCCCAAAAAAGAAAGTATTGGCTTTTTGAAAAAATAAAACTTAGCCTCCCTTTTTGAGAGATATTAACGTTAAGGAGTTAAAAATAAGATGTTAATGTTTTTATATCTTTCACTAAAAATAGTAATAAAAGTAATGACATTTTTTGTTAATGGTGAGTATTTCCACTAGATTATCACATAAAATTACCGTTCTTATAAAGAATGCTTAGATGGAAATTTAAAAAATCATCTGAAGAATTTCTTCACCCACCTGTTTTGAAATATATTAACTCGTTCATTGCCAGGGACACATATGTCCCCTTCTGGAACACTGCCATGTTATATACAGATGAGATATCAATCAACACATGAAAACAATATACTACGACAATTTAAAAAGGCCCGGCATGGCCAGGTCGCTCGACTCGCAATCTGAGGGTCACGGGTTCGAATCTCGCCCTTTCAGCCGTGGGGGCGTTATAATGTGACGGTCAATCCCACTATTCGTTGGTAAAAGAGTAGCCCAACAGTTGGCGGTGGGTGGTGATGACTAGCTGCATTCTTTTGTCTTTCACTAATAAATTAGGGACGGCTAGCGCAGATAGCACTCGTGTAGCTTTGTACGAAATTCAAACTTAATATGAATAAATGTATATTTTAAGGTATAATAAAATTTCTGAAGGATTGTGGCAGATCGTGAATCTAAAGAACACTTTTTAGGTTAAAGTTCAATGCAATGACTTTCTAAAAAATGTGTTTGTTTCGAAAATTTATGCAAAGCTACACAAGAGCTGTTTGCACATTGCTGTCCCTAATTTTGAATTAATAGACTAGAGCGAATGCAACTAGTAAAAAGAATGCACAACCAACTTTTGGGGTAAACTTAATACGATTGTGGGATTTAACCCACAGACCAGGGTGGTTTTCTTTTAATGTTGTAGGTAAAAAAAAAGGCCGTTGTTTGTGTGTATATAAAAAAACTGTAAGTTTGGCAACCCTGCTATAGACCCAAGGTGCATGATGCAATTTTGGAGTAGCGGGATACAAACTATGTACCCTCAAATTCAGAGTCCGGCACGCTGACCATTAACTACACATTTCTACAGAATAATTGTTTTGGTCAAACATGCGGAGCTGTTCGCTTAACGAGAAAGATTTCTATCAACATCTCTAGATAATTATAAGTGATGTTATGTGAAATACACCTTGCTATAAAATAGAATTTGGTTGACACATGAAAGAAATATTGGGATATTGTGGTGCTACTGTTATACCGTCGAGGTATCAGAAACAGTTTTAAATTCGTTTAAGTAATTCATAAACCTGCATTTCTTTTAACAATATGTGATGTTACGTAGCGCCATCTATAGATATAATTTTTCATAAGAAAATTTAGTACTAAAACTATACACGTATTCAGTCTTCTATGGACCCTGTCCTAAAACACTTTTAAAGTGTACTTTATTGATCGCTGTGATTATAAGACACCTCCTCGTTTCCACAATGGAAAAAATAGTGATTAATTTGTTTTGTGTGTAAATTTTACATGACATTTGCCGATCATAAACGATACAAATTCTGCACAGCACGTGACAAGAAACAATACCTTTTCTTTTTTAGCTGTATCTAGATTTTTTACTCTAAGCTACTCAAGGGTTATCTGCAGCTACTGTTATCTGACGGAATATGATAGTAACTCTTATAGCGCACCAGCGGCCGAACATATCGTGCGAGATTTCGCGGCAACTGAACACGAATTCACAGTCCGGACACGCTAACCACTAGCCACACCTGGTCCCAGTATCTTTGGGAATAGACAAGTTCAAATGATTCAAATATCTAATATGGTTTGTTTGAAGTTAAACACAAAGCAACACAATGGGCTATCTGTGCTCTGCCCACCACGGGTATAGAAACCCGGATTCTAGTGTTGTAAGTCCGCAGACATACCGTTGTACCATTGGGAGGCGTCTAATAAGGAATGTAAGCAATAAAAAATTATATAAATTTATACCACTGAAATATATTGCCTCCCCCCATCCCCAGTAGCTCAGCGGTAAGTTTGCAGACTTACGACACTAGCATTTGGGTTTCGATACCCGAGATGGACAGAGCAGACACAGTCCATTTTTGAATTCTGAGCTAAAAAAAATTATTTGAACATTTTACAGTTGCAAGAATATTTGCTATGCAATTTATGAAGCCAAGAAAAAGTTATCCAATAAATTAAAACTTGTTGAAAAAGTTCTGACCATTCTATCATTTTGTGTCAAAACAAACTGAATTATTATTTTCATAAAAAATGAATGTATTACATATATGACATAAAATGTAGCCTTCGTTAGTTCCAGTATGTTGCTGTACTGAGCACTTCTGGTACAGTTTTTGTTCAATATTTTTTGTTGTAATATTGTTACACATGTGTAAATGTTCTTTTTTCCGCACTGAACGTTGCTATTTTTATATACCTGTTGAATCAGTGATAAGTTTGCAGATTTACAACACTCAAATCTGCAATGAGATAGCCCATTGTTGAGCTCTGAGCTAAATAAAATATAAAACATTTTATTGCGACATTTTAAACAGTTAAAAAAATTGTATCCATGCGGTTTGTGGACAGAAAAACTAAGTTTGAATTTGTTGTTGTTTTTCTTATTAATGGTTTACAGTTTCAACAATCTACGATTTCTTCAAAGATTATTTTTTATTATGTGAATATTATTATTTATGTCTAACGATCTTCAAGAGATAAGTGTATTATCACGGTATTTATTTTTTTTAAATCAATTCCACAGAATACTGTCACTGGGTCATCATAAGAAGTTGGTTATTGTATATAGACTTCAACCAATCACCTTCATCCATGATCTGTTTTGCAGTTGGAAACGCCAGAATAAGTGGAGTTAAGATACAATTAGTGCTGGAAATCAATAGTTTCATTGCCATACTACATTTAAGAAGTGAGTGTGTAAACCTCCTGTTTCTTTTCTCTCTCTCTCTCTCTTCTTTTTTTTGTAAAAACATAAAATAAAACAATGGGAAAGTTTGTGTTTTAGTACAAAAAATAAACATCTGATTCTGCAGTTACAATTTGGATGAAGTATTTTCTAGAATAAAGTATTGCAAAATCGTGCATTAGATTATCTTACATCAGTGACAATTACAAAACAAAGGTACAGAAATCTGAGCTTATAGGTGAAAAAATTTAACAAAGGGATAATACCATAAAAAAAATTACATTTTCAAATTATTTTGAATATCCAGAAGAAATGAATGACAAAAATGTACGTTATTCAAATTCAAACATATTGAAAATAATTGTTTAATTAAATGCATTTATTAAAGAAATAAGTAAACACTGGGATCACTTAAAATATTTCAATTACTTGAATTCCTAGTTTCAAGAAAAACACATACAGGTGCTTGATGACTATTTTAAATTTAAGTCAAATCTAAAGTAAAACTCAGCCAGGTTGAATTTTTCTTCTTTACTGTAAAGAACACCATTTTGATTTGGTATAATCTTTAGTTCTACATATGTTTACATTATGTAGTTAGACAAATTCACAACTAGAGATACAAAAAATATTTCACAGGAATAGTTTATAATACCTGAAAGTTTATTTGAACACATCCTAACTAAAATTCTGAAGTTTATGTAATCATACACGGAATACAAAATAAGGACTAGATTTTGGGTTTTATTATGGCTTAGAACTTGATGTTTCAATGAAAAATCAAATCATTTATCACTAAATAATGTTGAAGCCTTAGGCTGCTGAAATTATTACAAATATATACATCCATATAAAAACATATGCCTATGTTTTCAAACCATCTTCAGATACAAAATACTTTAATGTCAGTTCCATGCATGGCTAAAGTACACAAAGAGACAGTAAGAGCACCATTCTTAAGTACATCAATGAGTATGCACAAAAGTAATCCCCATAAATATATTTATGTTCTCCAACTAGACTCAGTCATGTTATTCTAGCATTAAAACACAATCTGAAACACATAATTCACACTTATAAGATTGAACAAGTAAACTTCTATTATTGTGAAGTTCAATAACTTTATATTTAGAAAATCTTTTTGTTGTACTTGTACAAGTAAAAAGTTACACAACAAAAAAAAAAAAAAAAAACAGGACTTTTGGGATGACATTTTTTTTTCTCAATACTGAATGGGTTTTAAATCTTGACCAACATTGGTATTCCAGATCATTAATGAAAGTATTTTTCTTTCAGAGCTCACCTGAGTACACACATTTCTTCCTTCCTCATTGACTTGCTTCTTCATGATTTGCTTAATCACAGTGGTATTTTTTTTTTTGTAGCTTATCTTATTATATAAAAGTTGGTTTTCCATAGATCAATACATTACAAAAATGATTTTCCCTCATAGATTACCTGATCATACACTTTTTTTTTCATTTTTCAGAAATCACCTGATTACAGGTGGATTTTTTTATCTCTCAACATTCATATGATTTATAAGTTTTTCCCTTCTCATGACTCATGATTACCAAAGTGGTTTCCTTGTTAATATCTTAATTACCATATAAAATGTTTATTTTTCTAATGGAGATAGTTGATCTTCTATTAGAGATTAAGTCAGGTAAACTTATATATATTTAAATTCTACTTTCATTATTTTTCCAATGTACTGAGCCAATAAACTAATTTAATCTTAATTGACTGGTGTTTAAAAACCAGACAGTGAAATTTCTGTTAATGTTAAATGGCACATGAAAAACAGAATCTTGCTGAAAAATAACGATCCCCATACTCAACATTTTCTATGCAAACTGTCAATAACTTGTCAGTTCCTATATCTCATACTGCTCAATTTATTACTTGTAACTTACAGTAAGTTTGAAAATACATTAACTCACAAAAAAACAATTTATTATAAAAGGAACTTCTAAATTCTTCATTCTAAAAGTTACACAATGTACACACAAAATAATTAAGCTCTGGCTCACCTGAAATGGAAGTCAAGCTTCAGGTAAAATATCAGAAACACATGTGGTTTCTGTTTTAAATTTATCACAACAGATCTTCCTCTTGTAATCACAGTAAAATAAATAACTGTTAGATTGATTTTTTCTTTGCAATTACCCAAAACAATTGTAATCCAATTCAACAAAAATATAGATGGTTAGAACAATGCAATATGATATTTGATTAATCAAAGCATTGTGGTTTATAACTCATGGAAAAACACACACTCACGTTTTTTTTTCTAGGTGTCTTGAAAAAGGTCACAACACATATCAACATTAAGCTAGATACTGTGAGCTAGTGGCTACCAAAATAGAAATTAAATATATATAATATTTAAAAGTTACAAAATTCCTTTTGGTAATATATCTATAACATAAATTGAGCCACATGCAACACCTACATTACAAGTAAATAATGAGTATATAATCAAGTAATCATCATTATTGGAATCAGATCACACCTTGAACACAATAGGAAAATGTCATTCCTTTTCAATCAAGTTTTTTTTCCTCCTTTTTTTTTTTACATGTAAATACCTAAAGTTTATCATAAAATGTATACTTTATTATGAAGCCAGCATAACAAAGCTACAAATATGAGATTTAATTAGTCTCAGTCATCTTGTATCTCTCTATGTTGGACTTAACCTTTGCTCGTGAATATTCAGGTCTTGTCTAACTTAAAATTTAGATCAAATATGCTTAAAACTGGTAAAGAAAAACTTTTGATAGTGTTGACATTGCTTTGATTAACTAGATTCTTTGGAAGTTTTTTAACATTTCTAAAAAATCACGCATGTCAAAATGCTGCTCAATTGGCATACATACCCTGATACCCACAACCATGATTTATGTGTGAAAATGTCTTTTAAGTACTTTATGGTTTCAGGAAAAAACAATTGAAAAATAGCTCAAGATATAACAGTGGCATATTATTATTCTTGTTATAGGATGGATAACAAAGACAAAATAAAAAATTGAAAAAAAGAGACTAATTACCTCAAAGATTAAATTCCAGAGATGAAAAACAATAACAATGGACCTAATCTTAATCAGCAGCATATATAAATAAAGTGATATCAACGATGATGCACTAGAAGACAACATGCTGCCTTAAAAAATCTTAATACCATACAAGCAATACATTTGCACAAATTCAAAAGTAACATCACTGATGATGCAAATAAAATAGTGCCATAACATGATTTAAAAACTGAAGCATTCCAAATACACATTTAACTAATTAAGCTTCCAACATTTCTGCTACAAACAATTTTTTTTTTTTTAACCAAGCATAATTTGTTTTGGTGAAATAACTAGTACACCACATTTCAGCTCAACATTGGTCATGCTTGATATCTGCATGGTAATAAAGAAATTCAATACACCAATAAAGTATTGATAAAAGTATCTTGTTCAGAAGTTTATTAAATTAAATGTCCAGTTTTGATGTGTAACATGAATAAGGGCATCGAATCCTCACCAACTTAATGCTGTCTATAATACATCAAGAAACTAATTTTACTATCATTAAACACAGAACAATACTGTCTACCAACAGCTGCTGCTTACCTACTTCAACAATTATGAAGTACATAAACAGAACAATACTGTCTACCAACAGCTGCTGCTTACCTACTACAACAATTATGAAGTACATAAACTGTAACTAAAGAACAGGAAATAAACACCAATATTAAGCCAATTACTTATGTGATGTTCTTTCAGATTATTATAACATGATGATTAATTCAGATTTGCATCAACACAATTAAAAACAAACACATCAACTGTAAGTTCCTAACATAATATATACCTGTCTATTTCAACCTCGACATTAACTTTTTTCTAAATGCAACTATCTAATGCACAACTGAAGGAAATGTGTATAGTAACAACACTGTCCTACTGCACAGTGCATATTATCTAATTGGTGATTACAGAATTATAATGCAAACTCAATTCATACCTACATAATATAGAAATCTAGTCTCATCAAAGAATAAGCATAAACAAAATAAAAAAAAAAATGCTAATTTACCAGAGTCTAATTCAGTAAACTATAGTGACTCAATATCACTAATAAAATGCACTATCTAGTTTACTGAAACAGTTGAAAAAGAAGGAAAACTTTTAAAACTGAACTGATACCATATATACATGTATTTTGAACTATCAGTTATAAGACAACTAAAAGTTATATAAACATAAGTACTTCTGTCACTTCACATACAAAATTTCTACTCATTGAAACTGACAAATGTAACAAAAACATAAAAAAAAGTTAGCTAAGAGAGTTAACATTATAAATGTAACACATTTTCTTTTACCCTATTGACATATGCTAGTATTTATATGATTCATATCTTATTCGCAAATTAAGTCTTTAGCTATGAAACCAAGAGAATGCAATATTCAAGCATTCTATGATTCTAAATGTTTCTAAATTATCAAGTAACACACCAAATGAAATTGCTTTGAAAGGAATAGTAAAAACACAAACCAGTTTTAGAATAAGCTAAGAAACTTTCCAAAAAATTAATTACAGAAGTTCTTAAGCAGCATTTGCTTACCATGACAGCCATGATGCATTTACTGGAAGGGGCTTGTCTACAAATTAACGTTGAAGATATCTTATCAATGTTTCCAACAAAAGCAAGCTCTACATTACAAGGACTGTTTTTTTAAAAGAGCTTATAAAATATGCATCAAGATATTAAGATTATGTAGCCTCTCACTCTTCTTTCTAAACTTTAGTTCAAAAATTATCTACAAACTAGAAACACAAAGTTTAGAAGAATTACAGAATACCTATCCATATTCAAGGGTTCTACCATAAGTAAGAAGAAATAGTTCAGTAAGAAAAAAAAAATATGTAGCACACTCCTAATATGTAGTAAACCTTTGTTTCCAAAAGAAACAGCACCACCATCAGGGACTAGTTGAAATAAATCACATATACACATGTATGTGTGTGTGTACATATAAACACACATACATACATTCATGGTTAAAATTTGTAAATTAAAACCTTACTCTTTTAAGTCTACCTCAAAGATTACACAAGGTATCTTTC